TCCATAGGGCTCATCTATTACAGATGTAGACCAACGATTGGAAGGAAGTCCTGCTGTTGCAACATAAGAATCACCAACATTTTCAGGCCATTGCTTTAGAGTTTATCTCTATAGTGATGATAACGAGTGTCTACGTGACCTCGGGGGGCTACAAGTTCTTAATGTTAATCTTTATGATTTTGCCATAACAACCAGAGTGACATCTATTCAGATGTTTCACAATGACTGGTTGGAAGTCCTGTTAGAGCTTAATAATGCTTCTATCATTATATACAGGCCACACATCGATGTTTACATTGATGTTGTGTTAACGGAACACATCAGTGTATCCGGTTTTTGCATTTCAAAAAAGTCTTCCCCAAGTTAAATACCATAAATTAAGTCAAACCAATCAACAAAGTTGAAATATATATGTGTGTGTATATGTTCTGACTTCTAACCACAAATACTAAAAACTAACAAAGTACTTGAAATTTGAAATAAATTACTACCCCCGTCCCACTAAGATTGGGACGAGAGAAGGTGACACGATTATTAAGAAAAGTGGGTTTGTATGGTTGATATTAAATTCATAAAGTAAGAATAAAGTACGAATGGTTTAGAGTCACACAATCTTTACCAAATTTGGTATAGGACAATCTTAGTGGGACTTCCCGAAAAGGTAAAATGAGGCAATCTTAGCGGGACGGAGTGAATACTAGTTAAAACTTAAAAGTTAAAACTTAAAGTTTGCATTGCTTCCTTGTGGAATTTTATTGAACATGCATTCCAAGTTCATATCAATATTAGGCTATAAATTTCCCAATCTATAAGTCAATCTTGTTGCTCAACTAAGTATCACGTCTCAAATAAAATCAACACATGTTTTCGACCTATCTTAAATTCTTAATAACTATAATAATTTATAATACAATGAAAATACATTTACATTGAAAATACCTTTATGTGGACACTGAAGTGTAGAGAAGATGAAGTTGGAGCCAATGAAGGGGCGAGGTTCTGCTGACCAATTTTGGAACATGTGGAGAGGTCGTAAATCTTAATCGTGTCGTCGGACCCACCAGAAATGGCGGCGGAGCCGCAAACGTCGACGCATATGATGGTTGAGAGGTGGGAAGGGAAGGAAAAGAGAGAAATTGGGTCAAGGCTTTGGCTGTCTTTCACACATTTCAGTCTGAATCCCTGTATTTGTTGCGGTTCTCTCCTACCCGAAGCAAAAAAGTCAAAAGAAATTCAAAATTCGAAATAATATAGACTATTTGCTGCGGTTCCTCTACGACCGTGGCAAACAGTATCAAAATTTTCAACTTTTTGCTGCGGTCGTGGAGGAACCGTAACAATACCCATTGATTTTGCCTATTTATTGCGCTTTAGCTAAGAACCGCAGCAATTAGGTAGCAACAAATAAGGAAAATTCTAGTAGTGCTTGGGAGGCTGGCTGCCGGAAAGGGGTAGGTATCGGGTGGTCACTGACGAGGCGAGTTTGTTCACTAGAGGGCGGTACCAGATCACCGGTAGTGGTCATTAGAGGCGATCATCGCCGGCGGTGGTCACTATTGGACCGAGTAATTGTAAATTGTCAGACTAGGTAATTCTAACTGTTTGAGTTTGATAATTGTAACTGATCGGATCAGGTAATTATAACTTGTCGAATCAGGTAATTGTAACTGGTCGGGTTGGGAAACTGTAACTAGTCGAGTTGGGTAACGGGAAGGGGAGAGTGACCGAGTAGTCAAAAGCGGTAGACTGGGTGGCTTTGTGCTCTAGAGTTAGGGCCAACTAGGCCGACTAGGTCGATTTTTAGAACAATGTTAAAGACGTAGTATATAGCAACTATCAGAAGACTTAACTGTTTAGAATCAATGATTTTATTCATGATAGGATTTTCATAACATCCCCATCATAACTTCCTGATTAAATGCCACCATTACGGCCACACTCCTTCAGATGGTAACTGCCACCACCAATAGTACTTTACTCGTTTTGTAACCACTACCACGTAAGTTTGAGGAAGAGTTTGACCTCCATAAGATCTCTAATGGACCAGGTACTCGGTACCCAGATCGGCCCAAACGTGATTGACCTCATGGCGGACCTGGATCTCCCTGTTAATGCTATTATGACTTTTTTCGTTAATTTCCTTTTATTTAATACGAGTTGTTCCTCATTATAATTTGGGCTAGACCGATACTATATACTATTTCATTGTATATATTTCCGGATTTGGGCTATGGGTGAGACTATATCACTATACTGCCATTAATATGAATTTTTAGTGAGTTTCGTTTATTTACTCATTAATTCAATTTAGATAACCTAATAATAATACCAAATGTCACGCCCCGGACCTACCCGGACACGTCAACAACCCGCCGTACAGTACGAATAGTCAACCGCACTTTAACACATCCATACTATACAAGGCGTCTGGAATATCATTCACACATTGTACATCCATAAACAAACATAATGTAAAAACGTTCATTAAAGCAGCGGAAACAATATTGCAAGTGTTCAAGCCACACTTGGCATAATTAGGCATGCAAGCCCCCAAAATAATTATTCAGAAAATAATATCCATGAGCACTATTATAATTGTTTTGAAACAGAAATGGAGGAAGCACGAACCACGTCTTCTCTCCTAGAATCTTCCCGAAGCCACGGGCAATGGTAGCAAGCTCAGCTCTTACCTGAAACTGTGAGGTGGCCTCCCCCGTGAAGGGGAGGTCAGTAGTTGGAAGCATTTGACAAGTACAATGGCAACTATACTAGGTATAATCAATGTTTCAATTTCTAAAACCCTCAATCTAGGGTGATATTATATTATAGGTCATAACCCTCGGTTACCCCTTTTATAAAATGTACTGACTTTGTATAAAGTCAAGTAATCGGCCCGTGGACACATATTCACTTAGGATTCACCATTTTAATTCCGCGTGACTACTAGTCACGCCAACCCCATAGGGTTCCCTTGAGTCCCGATTATATAGCAAGGGCTCGGCCCAACTACATTTCTATACAACCCTTCAACTCAAATTAACACATTAAAATTATATGGCAAGGGCTCGGCCCAACTACGTTTCCATACCAACCACAACTTCGTGACAAGGGCTCGGCCCAACTACGTTTCCACGAAGATCACAAATACATGGCAAGGGCTCGGCCCAACTACGTTTCCATACTAATCACATTTCATGGCAAGGGCTCGGCCCAACTACATTTCCATGCATTCCTAGAGTCCGACTCTAATTCATTTTCATAGTCCAATTCTCAAGCAAATCCTATGCCTAGAATCAACCCACTTGGGTAGCCTTTAGGCTTACCCCTAACACACCTTAGTGTTCATTCAATTCAACCTTAAGTATCTCTTAAGACTACTTAAGGCAAATCTATTCACAATCCTATCCCTTAGGATTAATTCCATTATATTATTCTCCCGACTAGTATTTTAATACTAGTAGGTTAGTCTTAGAACATATCAAGTTCTTGATTCAAATTGACATTTCCTTTCAATTGATTTTCCAATCCAAATATAATTTGATCCCAATATCACAAATATCACTTTTCCAGTCATGAATTTCATACATGAAGTAAAAGTATATTTTTATCACAATAATTTCATAGTTAATTCCATTACCATGTCATTCCTTTAATGTCACATAATCATACACAATTTATTCTAAATTTGTATATCATGCCCCATTTACTCGTATCAATAGTATTTTCATTTAAGCATTATTACTCATTAATAATCCATGAAAATCACTTTTAATACCTTAGGTAATCTTATGAAATTAACTCACTAATTATAAGCAATATAGTCAGCCATTCTCACCTCGTGATGTGCTACAATAGTTGCCTTTGTTAAGCCTCTCGATCAATCCCCGTTCTAGGCCGATTGAAAGTGGAAAACTGGACTGTTGGGCAAAAGCCGGGCGGCTTTCACGAAAGCCGGGCGACGTTCGTCCTCCTGCAACACGAACAGCTTCCTATATGTGGCGGTTTCCGGTGATTTCGACTCCTATCGATTCACCAACTCTTCTAAGTTAATTACCACCATTATATATATCAACATTCTACACTTTTTAAACGTGTAGAACTTCATGTTTACTCCACCATATGATTTCTTACAAATCATACTCAAAAAAACTAGTTAAAGAGCTATTTGGTGTTCTTACCTCAAGCCTGGCTCTTCTCCCTGGATTTTCTAGCTTCCTCTTCCTCAATGAGGCCTTGAGAGTTTGGTTTCCTGGAGCTCTTCTCCTCTTGTGTCGGTCAAATGAAGGTAAGGGGTGGAGAGAGGGTGCCTTCTCAATCAACACAAATGATTTGTGTGAGATAGGACCCTAGCATGTGTTTTTGTCTCAAAGGAGACTTCCCCCCCCCCCCCCCCTTGTGCGTACAAGCACGTTTGGCTGCTCCCCCTCCCCTATTATTTGGTCAATCAGCACCCATAAAAACGTGGGGTGGCCCCCACTTATGTGGGAGATCATCCCATTATGTCCCGGTGTGTACAATCGGCCCCGAAAGTTGTATTTCTCGAGCTGTTTTAATTATATTTTATTTTATCGGGACAAATAAAATATATCACACGTTCCTAATAGTTATAGGCCTTTATAATAGATGTACATTGCCCAACATTAATTTAGGAGTCTTAAATTTCGTAGTTCCTAATGTCTTTAGTTTTAAGTCTACATTTATGATATTATTAGCGATTCGTATTGCTCTTTCAGGGGTGATCGTCTCTGAGTTAGTCATAAGGTTATCATTAGTTAGGGATAATTGTTGTCAAGGTTGGTGTTTTTGAGTTTATTGTAACGATCTGATTCGTAATGATATTAATGTAAGCGGTTTGTTTTGATGATAAAATATAATAGCGAGGCTGTCCACAATAATGAAAGTGTGGACTTTTGGATGAGAACATACTTTTTCTACAATGCGTAATATTTTAGGTATATATACAATTATATTACATAAATTATAAGTAGTGTTTTGAGTAAAAGAGGAGGAAGAGTCTGCTATTGTAACAACCAAAGATTTGTTTGACTGGACGAGATGCATTATTTGTATTTGTTTAATAAAAATCTCAACAAGTCAATGAAATTGTGGATGAAGTATACTCCTTAATCAAACGGCATTAAATACACTCACGTTCTATGCATTGCTGTAACAAACGCCCGTTTTCCGGTCTCTACAAAGGTCCGTCCGGTCGCGCGAGCCATTAAGCATTTATTTATTTATTTATTTATGCTTGTAATCCGTTAACCCTAATTCCCACTCACCTCTGATTTGCTAGTCAACAATCCCCACCATTGTGCTCTTGAGTTTCAGCGCAATTGATACGTTTTCGTCACGTAAATATTGGGCGGGGAGGGGTCTGAAGAAGGTGGAAGTTTGGCAGTAGTTGATGGAGGTGAATTCTGGCGTCGGCGGAGGAAATGACGTTGAGCTCCTCAGCAAGACGCTGCAGGTGGAACACAAGCTGTTCTACTTCGATCTCAAGGAGAATCCGCGCGGCCGCTACCTCAAGATCTCCGAGAAGACCTCCGCCACAAGGTCCACCATCATCGTGCCTTCCAACGGCATCTCCTGGTTCCTCGATCTATTCAATTACTATGCCAATTCCGGTGACCAGGAACTCATAAGCAAAGAACTCCAGCTTGACTCCAAGGCATCACTCCTTTACCCCTAACTCTCTTTAACTCTATTCTGCAATCTTTCATTGGCTAACATTATGCTTCTTCCTTTTGCAGGTCTTTTATTTTGATATTGGTGAGAACAGAAGGGGCCGCTTTCTGAAGGTTTTTCTCCTGCTTATTCATGCTTTTAACATCTTATTAGTCGTTTATAAGAACAATAAGCAGCTTACGAGTTAGCAATTTAAAGTACTTTCGCAGACTGCTGAGTGCTGCCCATAGTTTCACAAGTAAAAGAGACAGGACACAAGTTCAACTGCGTCTCACTATTCATTATTTAAGCCTTAATTTTCAAAAGATGGTGCTTTAACTTAAGATAATACTCCATATATGGTACTCCCTCCGTCCGTTAAAACTTTGCCAACTTTCCTTTTTTGTATGTCCCACTAACTTTGACACTTTCCATTTTAAGTAAAGAAGAATTTGTGGTTCCAGTCAATTCTCTCTCCTCTGCACAAACCTCCACCACACAGTTTTTACTTTATTAATCCCCGTGCCGGTCAAACTTTTCAAAGTTTTAAGGGACGGAGGGAGTATATTATATGTTCACTTATTGTTGACTATTGACAAGCTAGGTCTAGTACTCTAGTTGAAGGCTTAAAGGCCTTATAGTTTTTACCTTTTACCTTTTCATTTGCATTCTAAAGCGCGCAGAGAAAGTAAAAGACCCTTTGTATCAGGATAAGCTTCAAACTTTTGAATAGAATTATGATAGTCAGACCAGCGTTCTGTGATGTTTGGAGAGGCTGCTTTATTTCGTTAATGATATGTTTTTTCTAAGACACTTGATTAAATGCAAATAGTGGAAATAGATCCAAACCTTTTCAGTTAGATCATTGTTCTTAACTTCTTTTATCATATGGAAGACCTTTACAGGTAATATGAATATAAACGATTCATCACAGAAAAAAATGTAAATATACTTTTTGGTTCATGACGTTCATCACAATATTACATTATTACCCAGCACATTGAGATCAAATGAAGTTTGTCTTGATGTTAGCAAGTCGTCATCTCTTGTGGGGTTAATAATTTTCCTGTGGGTGAGTGGTATTTGAAGTAAGTTTGAGGCAGGCGGGTGTTAAAAACTTGCCATTTTCCTCAGTGTTGTTTACCCATTATTCTTTGTTACAGAAAGACAATGGAATTGCATTTAGATTGGATATACATTGCTACATCACCTTCTCCAAACTTTGTTCTACATTTGTATTTTGATTCTCCTAAGTCTCAAACCGATCAATAAATACGGCTAGCTGCATTTTTATGATGCTCTCTCCGTCATCCAAATTTGGATTTGTTTATGTCATAGCCTAAAGCTTCAAAGTATAATATACCCCCCATGTTTTTATGTCCGTATAGGTTTTTCAAGAAGATTTAGAAGAAGAATAGTAGGGATTATGAATAGTATAGAAAAGTAGGAAGATGAGGAGACAAAGTATTGAGGAGATGGAGATAGAGTAGGAAAGAAGTGGAGAAATAGTAGGGAAAAAGGGAATATGTAAAGGTGAGTGCTATGGTACCCATTTAAAAAATGGGGGTACCATCCCTAGCATGCATATGATTGGTCCAAGTTTTTGTTTCATCATTATTTTATATTTAAATAATTCATCTCCCATATTCTTGTGGGAGATGAATTATTTAATAATGTTTCTTTTGGGATTAAGGCTTGGATGTTGTTGTTGTTGTTGTTGTATCTCCCATATTCTAATTGTTCCACTTGGAAAGTGTATGGTGTCTTGACCATAGACTTTACCACATGTAAACTAAGGTAGAAGTTTCAAAAAAAATGGAAATGCGACAAATAATAAAAAACTTCCCAAAAAGGAACAAGGGTCAAATAAAAAACAGGGCATGTAGTATTTAAACCAGTCACTTAGTGGAATTGAAAATTTCGAAATTATGCTTTATAGCTGTTTGGACTCTGCTTTAGTACAGGGGCAAGAGTGCGTACATCTGACCCCCCCTTACCTCACCATAGGTGGGAGCCTTTGAGGCATTGGGGTGATGATGATGATGAGCTGTCTGGAACTGCCTATTTTGTTTGCCAAATGATCTAATTTTCTCTCAATTGGTTTTCAAAGTTGATTTTAGCCTACGCTTGTTGTACATGCAGGTATCTGAAGCTTCAGCTAGCAGAAACCGCAGTACCATCATAATTCCTGCAGGTAGTGCCCATGATGAGGGTTGGTCTGCTTTTAAGAATATTTTAGCTGAAATAAACGAAGCCTCAAGGCTTTACACTCTGTCCAATGAGGTATTTATATTACATAAGTCTTTTTTCTTACTGGCCCCATTCCTCTTGGTTCATAATTCAGGACATATTTGGATCACGGAAAATGTTTGGGAAAGGATAAAACTTGTTCACGGAAAATATTTTGAGGTTGGAAAATGCAAACAAGAACAAAATATGACTTGTTTAATATTACTTTTCATATATTCAGATTCATCACTCGTTATACGGTAGATATGAGTACACATAATAAGTATCGACAAATATATAAAATAGATTAATTGAGTTTAAGCTTATCTTTTCCCCCCAACACATTTTCTTCCTTCTAGTTTTCCTCTATGGTTTCTTACATACGGAGTATATTTTTATTGCTAGGTATTTTCTGGGGTCCGAGTGAACCCAATCTTATCTTTTCCCTTTTTGTGACATAGCAGCAAAACTCTGAAGTCTCAGCTGACCGGCTTGGACTTACAGATGATGTAGGTGCTGGTTTTATATCCAGCCACACCACCCAACTTACTCCAACAGCTGACTCGAAAGTGGACCACTCAATTGATTTACCAACGCCAGAAGATGTTAATAACTTGGGGATTTCTAAAGTAATCAGGGTTGATCAGAAAAGATTCTTCTTTGATCTTGGCAACAACAATAGGGGTCACTACTTAAGGATATCTGAGGTTCGATTGCATAACAAGAAGTTTTTTTTTAAACTTGTGAGGCCTATAGATACAATTTCCAAACTGGCTTCAATACTATGTCCGAGATTAGTATTCTGCCCTTGGAAGTTGCATCATAATTTTGTTTCATTTACTGGGGTAAAATATACTTACCTTCGTTCTTAAATAATTGCAACATGTTGAATTTTACAGTATTCACATGTTCTACTTTGACTACATTTTATTCACTAATGTATTATGGAATTAATTTTTGAAAAACATCATTAAATTTGCCTTGTCATAAATTTCCAAAATCTGAATTTTTTATTTTTTTACTAATAGAGAATTAAATATATTAATGGTTAAAGTTGTGTGTTGACAAACGTGAAAAGAAAAGTGTTGCAATTAAAAGAGAACAGAGGAAGTATCTTTTATGCCTACCTGACAATTTTTAAATTTTGGAAAATTAAACAGTGTACTTCTTGAATGCTAATTTCTGGGTTTGTATAATGTTTGTTCATAAATATGCATGATGGAATTATAAATTAATATTGTCAAAGTCACAACTAATTTGTTCAGTGTGATTTCTAGTGTGTTTTGCAATTTTGTGGGTGGTGCGCAACTAAATTCTGTATAATTTGGAAAGATGGGCTCTAAAATGACACAAAGAAACTTCAATTTGTCTAATGTTGCCAACCTCTATCGGATTTAGGGGATCTGAGTGTATTTTACCCTATTGTCCAATGTCTACTTTGTCCCTCTGCATTTTAGAATGGGTCCTCTCTAGCAACTACAAATTGTAGTAACTAGCTTACTACATGGAGGGCCCAGATCACATAAAATTACCAAAGTTTAACGGGCTCCATCTTGTTCATTTCACGCATATGTCATGAAAACACACAATTGCAGGTGACTGGTCCCGACCGCTCTTCCATCATCCTCCCATTGTCAGGGATGAAGCAGTTCTACGAAATGGTGGGCCACTTTGTGGAAATCAGTAAGGATAGGATCGAAGGAACAACTGGCCCAAATGCAGCCTCTTCAGACTCTACTCTGGCATGATCATATTTGAAGGCAAAATTCCAAACTTTTTTTCTGCAGTGTATGAGGTGTGCGTTTGTTTTAATATTCTGTCTTTATGAAGAGTTCATTGGAATTTGAATAAACCCATTTATCTGTTTTGTCCCCAAATATACATAGAAGTCCATTTACTGAGAATGTTAATGGGAGTGGCAATAAGAAATATAGTATTGGTTATTGTAACCCCCCAGTGTTGGAAGTTTCATTTGTATTTCCTCTCCTGGTCCTCATTGGTTGGGAATGTTGTGTGCTAACATATACTTTAAAAAAGGTAATTTACCTTTTCTCAATCTAATAATTAGTAGTATGTTTTATCTTTTATTTTATCATTAATATTCATTCTGGTCTTATTTATCTTCTCCGCTTTTTGGAGTTTGTATGGTGCTTTAGAGCTGTTATTAGATTTTTATTCACTTTATCTGTTTTTACCCTTTGAATGATCTAATAAGGGTACATTGAAAACATGAAAAGAGAATTAGAAACATGTGTAATTATGACCAATCTTCTGGGACCAAGGCTCGGATGTTGTTATTATTATTGTTGTTGTTGTGGTGTAATTATGACCATCTGTTATGAAGTAGACAGCCAAGTAGAAGAGTACGAGGGAGTATACTGTATAAAACTACATCAACTGTTGTTTAAGTTCATTGGTCTATCATCTATCTTACCGTGTTATATTCTGTAATAGTGTCATATATTTAATTCATTTATCGCTTTCATTTGTCAGTTAGAGAGACATTAAAACCAGATACTACAGAGATACATTCCTATGTGTATATACATTCAATGCGTGAGGAGCATTTTCTGTTTCATACGCCCAAATGTGCTCCATAACTCACCCAAATGAGGAGGTTTGGGTGATGGTGTCTTGCCGGTGTTCCGTAGCATTGGCCTAGTCAATACTGTTTGTCTATATGTAACAGGCCAGAACCTAGAACTACTCATAAATACAAGTAGATATGACTAGGCATGGACCGGTTCCGGTTCGGGCCCGGCCGGGCCTCGGTTCAAGAAGGGGAGGCCCGGAACCGGCCCGGGTAACCCCCGGGTTCGGGCCGGGTTGGGCCTCGGGTATATTTTTTTTTGGGCTTTTCCTAGTTAACCCCCACCCCTCCCCCTCACCCCCAAACCAACCTAACCACCTCAATTGGCCCAAAATAACCAGCCCAACCCAAAAACTCAAAAAAAATTCAAAAAAAAAATTAAAATTGGCCCGGCCCGGGCCGAACCGGCCGGGCCGGTTCTCCTTTTGAAGGGCCCGAGCCCGAACCGAGAATCCATCGGGCCGGGTGGCCCGAACCGGCCAACGAACCGGTTCCCGGACCGGTCCGGGCCCGCACAGTGGCGGGCCGGTCTGGTTCCGGGCTGGTTGGCCCGGCCCGAGTCCACCCCTAGATATGACATTGGTGGTGTTCAATATCAGATTCGAAGTATTTGGGTATCCGACATACTCCCAGAGCACACGGGTACAATAAATAAACTTGTATTTTCTGGTGCATCATCATGGTTAACTCATAATATCACCCCATCAGTGACTCAAGTCTACTGTGACCAGCAGCGGAGTCAAAAGGGTCAGAATGAGCAGCTGAACCTAGGGGTAGACAGGTTTTTTATTACCCGGAAGTCCGAAACCAGGAGCTGGGGACTGGGAATCAAGAACTGGTACCGGTTCCTGAAATAGGTGATCGGAACCGGCCGGTCCAGTCTGGCGGTATTTTTTAATTTTTATTATATCCAAGTATGTTATATAATATATATATATATATATATATATATATATATATATATATATATATATATATATATATATATATATATATATATATATATATATACTCCCTCTGTTCTTTTTTAATTGCAACATTTTCTTTTTTTGGCAGTTTCAAAATAACTGCAACATTTCCATTTAAAGCAATAATTGTTGTACGCATGGACATTAATACCCTTACTCATAGTCCTTCCGATCTACGGAGTAATACCTTGCCATCTCATTGTCCACCCACGTATACCCATTAGCCATTACCCGTTTATCTTTCTTCTTCGTCTTAAATCTTTTTCTTCGTCTTTCTTTATTTTCATTTCTACGACATAGACCATGGATTTGTTACAAGTTACTCATAATCCATTCTACTTATGCTTTCCTTTCAACAAAACATGACTTCTACTTTTCTTCTTCTTCTCTTTGTTGCTTTGTTGCTTCCACCAGTTTGAAAATTCAGGAAGAAGATTTGAAGAGCAAAGAGGTAAATCAACTTTCTTCTGTGAGTGATTTTCAAGATTCGACTGCAAGGAATATGTAAATCCAGAAATTGCTCTTCAAATAGTTCGGACAAATGGTTGTGAAGCCTTCGTCGCAGATGGGAGAGCTATCGTCGTGGAGGAGAATACGCAAGACGGAGGTGAGCCTCTTTCGTACAACCTCGATGTCGTACAGGGGCAAGAGTAGAAAGTGTTTGCTTTAGCTGTATTCCTTAATATGTGTGCCCAACCTCCATGTTGCAAATAATTCAGAACAGAGGAAGTGTATATATATATATATATATATATATATATATATATATATATATATATATATATATATATATATTTATAATGCTATTATATTGTATATACTATTATATGCATAGTTTAATGTAAGTGTAATATAATATATTCTTTAGAATAATATCATAATATAATACTCCCTCAGTCCCAAATTGTAAGATACATTTACTATTCACTTGGTCAACATAAATCACTCTTAATCTTTTACTTTATATATCAAAGGTTTATGAAATTTGAATTACTTTTTGCAGGTTTTGTAGCGGTTTTAATGTAGTTTCTGAATATGTAAAATTTTATTTTCTAAAACTAATTTGAGTGTTGACAGAGATGGATTTGCTTTATCGTCGGTCAAACATCGTAAACCGTAAACTATCTAACAAATTGGGACGGAGGGAGTATCAACGAGACCCCCATATTGCTGCAATCGGAACTTGCGTGAGGAATGGCCTGGTACCAGCCCACCTTTGAATGTTTTAGTAATTAAAAGGGAATTTTTCACAAATAGACTAAAAATGAAAATAATATCACTTTTGTCACCCTTAAAAGTTTATTTCAAATATAGATTACTTTAAAGTTTCATTTCAAAAATGGACCATCCCATGTATGAAGCCCATTGACCCAAATTTCTTCTCCTCGCAGATGGATCGATGCACATAAGGTGGTGATTCACGGCTTCTCTTTTTAAAGGAAAAATTGACAAAAATAATCCCACCTTTCGTTGGTCTTCTCATAATAATCCCACCTTTAGGTAATCCCAAAATAATTCCACCTTTGCATCCCATCTTCTTTCATTGGATCCTGACCATGTTTTTTACTCTTTTTTGAAAATCATATAAATAATCTTACCTCTCAGTTTTCTATTATATCTTTGTAAATGTGAGATTATTTATATAAGATTTTCAAAGAAAGGTAAAAAACTTGGTCAGGGTCCAATGAAAGAAGATAAGGTGCAAATGTGGGATTATTTTGGGATTATGTAAAGGTAGGATTATTATGAGAAGATCAGTGAAAGGTGGGATTATTCTTGTCAATTTTTCCCTTTTTAAAAACTAATGCGATAGAACAAAAGAATGGGTAGGAACTCCTCTTTTTATTTTTAATTGAAAATGTAAAAATTCATTAACTCATATAGTTGATAATGCTTAGAAAAGAATAAAATTAAAAAATGTGAATTGACTTTAAAAAATGATAGATTATATGTCTAGAGAGAAGTGTGAGCTAGAAAGAGAAGTGATTTGTATTAATGAATTACTAACTCTTACAACTACTCCCAAGGAGAGTATTTATAAGGAAAAGTGGGCTGAGCTTCCAAGTCTTGGGCTTAGGAGGCCCATTACAATATAAGACCTCTATTGGGCCGATTACATTCGAATATATTAGCGATGTGTGGAAGACTGGCTCTGCGAGCTCCTTGTGGCCGACGGACGTCTAGCTGATGCAGGTGTGGCTGACGAAGGTCTGGACGACGAATGTCTGGCTGACGGAGGTGTGGTCGACGAAGGTCTGGACGACGAACGTTTGGCTGATAGAGGTGTGGCCGACGAAGGTCTGGACGACGAACGTCTGGCCATCGGAGGTGTGGCAGATGAAGGTTATCCACCGAACGTCTGGCCGACGGGGGCACCCTGGTTCTCCTCGCTTCTGGACCATATTCTGAGTTGATATCTTTTTGGCCGATGGAGGGCCATCTGGCTGACGGAGGGCCCACCGGATGACAACTGTGCTCCTCTTAGTCTTCTGAGTATGTGGGTCATGAGATATGGACCCATATACTTTATCAGGAGTCCTCCACTCTCTGAGCTGAGATGTAGACGAAGTGAAAGGGAGTAGATCCTTGTTGTCTTGATGCTTTTGGCCTTCGGAGGATTACCTGGGAGTTCTGGCGCTTCTGGCTGAGGCGGTGCCATAACTGAGCCGTCAGGAACGTCCTTACGAGGCCGAGGCAGTGCCATAATTGTCGGCTGCCTTTTGTCCTTCATCTCGAGGACGATGAATGTCTTCCATTTTGAGGACGATGAGTGTCCTTCATTTTGAGGACGATGAGTGTCCTTCATTTTGAGGACGATGAATGTCCTTCACTTCGAGGACGATGAATGTCTTTCATTTTGAGGACGATGAATGTCCTTCATTTCGAGGATGATGAATGTCCTTCATTTCGAGGACAATGAGTATGGTCCTTTTTGAGGACGTTGTGCGCCCTTGGTTTTGTGGTCGATGAATGTCCTGCCTTTGATTTTTAGCTGATGGATCGTACGCTTGTGGATGTCCGTGGTGTTATTTTCACATCTTGGTCGAGGGTGGAGCATATGACCCAAGGCCGTTGGAACTCCACATGTCGAGGGACGGCACGTGTCACATTCTAGGTGGTGTGTTTGAGCTTTGCTTGTTTGCTTATTTTGCTGCGCCCGAGGTGTACCACAAGGTCCTGGACGTTGTGGTGCACGGACGATACGATGTCGTTGCAGTTGTATACTTGTGCGTTCTTGAATTTTCATATTCATCATTGCATTTGGAGGCCGATGTAGTCCCCCACTCCCCCACTCCTTAAGGCACATGTAATGAGGTGAAAAGGAGTAGAGCAATGCACGTCTTCAACAGGGGGCCGAGGGTCGACACCTTTTGATCCACAATGAGGAGATGCCTCGTTAAAAACCTCATTAGGAAAAATCGTGTGGGAAAAAATCCTAATGAGGGAAAAAGACCACAGTGGATGCCCCCAAAATGAACTCCAAGGGGTGAAACCTTCGGCCTGGGTGTGGAGCTGCGGCACTGTCCGTCTGCTGAGGGGACGCTCGT